TTGCCCTAGTTTGCTCTTGCGTGCTTATATAAATTGTCCTCATTCATGTTGGACCAGAACTTCTTGTAAAATCTTAATTCAGAAATGATTCTTATTAAATGTTTATTCTTTAAATTATTTAATTTCCCTTTTTCAGCATACTTGTCCTACCCTTATTCTGTTTTGCCTTATATTTTACACTTAGGAATTGGGTTGTTTATCAGGTTATGTCAGGTTATTCAGGTCATTTAAAAAAAAAGGGGGAACCAAATGATGTTCAGTTCTGTAAACGGTTTTCTCTCGTGTATTCTTCTGCCCATGCAGATGCGTTTCCTGCACTACAGTTAGGGGGCGCCTCTATACCGCTACTAAATCTACAGCGCAACCATTTGATTCCCGTTTGAATGACACTTTTGAACTGATTCTTTTTAGTAAATCATAAACATACAGTGCGCCCAGTGTAGAGTAATCCCCAAATAAATGGCTCTTAAGTTTGGCAGTGGAATTGCATTCCCAAACCAGATATTTCCTCCTTAACTACTATAGAAGCATTAATGGAACCAGTTAAAAAAACTGGATTCCCACCCCTTCTCATGAGTTTTGGCTGGAAGACAATACTCAAATATTATAATATTTTTGCTGTGCATGTTGGTTAACGATGACACACAAGGACAGTAATCAAAACATCCTATTGGACCAATTAGTAGTGTGAATCTTTCTTTTTTCTAAGCATCTGCCTCTTGCCTCCATTCCTTGAAACTCTTGTTATTGTCCCCATTGAGAGCTGAAAGAGGCTCCTGGACACCATTTGGCATCCAAGTGGTTGGACGCCTTGTCCTCCAGTGCAGCCCCTCTCATTTCACACGTCCTCCCCCATTATCATATCAATTGATGCAGCTTGTAGGAAACAAAGTGAGGTTATGGGAACCACCTAGAGCAACATGCACCATTAAACATCAATGCAAGGGGACTAGCACATATGCAAGTTCAGCCTTGTTTACCAAGATGGAAGACTGGCAGTGTATGTTTCTCGAACTCTTACAGCTCACGGTCCTCCCTCTGAACCTTAAATCAAGTTTAAATCGGTTTTACACACCATGCTTTTATTGTATTGACATTTGTTCTGTGCAGCAATTTACATGGATTTAAATAGGCAGTGTGCTCTTGTGTTCTAACTAAGATACCTTTTTACTGTAGCATATTTTTTTATTGTGGACTCTGACCCCTGGGTATGACCTAATGTTGTACCATGTACTTCCAAGAATCTCCTCATTTTTTTCCAGATGACTCACCACGGCTGGGATGTTTGGACATTTCCCAGCATGCCTCTGGTGCGTGACCTGTCATCAAAGGGCAGAAGGGTTAGCCTGTGCTAGTACCTACATTCTCACCATGCTAAATTGCATCGTGCTCACTCCCTCACAAATCTGAATAGAAGAGTGCCGTTGCTTCATACGAACCTTAATCGTCAGTTTGATGTCCATTATTGTCTAGAGCCTCTTCAGTTCAGTCATGGGTATCAAAGGAAGGAACAGTTAATGCCATTTTATTTTCTCACTCTCAGGCTGCGCTGTTTCTGAGTCATAAAAGGAAGTAGAATCAGGTCAGCCTTTGTACAGGAAGGAAGGAACCACATACAGTTTCATTTTGAACATATTCATTTGCGTCTGGTCATTTTTTTTTTTCTTCAGTCATTTGTCCGTTCAAACAAAACTGCAGATTTGGGCTTCATATGACCATGTGCACTCGCTTCCTCTTGTAGTTTGATGCGAAGGAGAAAGCATGCTATAATGGCAATGTAAATATTGTAATCTTTAATTGCAAAATAATAGATAGATCATGAGTTTCTGTTAACTTAATTCACACGGAAGATCCTCTAGTTAATCATTTCAAGAGGAAGGCGGGCAAGCATGCTTCATTGCCTGCATTAATTAAGCAAAGTCATTTTGCTGCTAATTAGCTGATTCTAAAAGGATCTGCTTTTTGTGTAATTAATTATCAAAGACACAATCGGCTGACTCGTATAGGGAAAAACCGCTCACACACGCAGCAGACGTGTCTTGAGTGCTCATTGTTGCGTCAGTTGAAAGCCTTTGCTCACATTCTCTGTTGTTTACTGTCTGTGTCTGATGGTTTCTTTTGAAGTTCTCCACATAAAGTGATGGTCTTTGACACTTACTGACTACAGTTAGCAGATGTATACTTTAAAGCTGTCTGTTGTTGCATGTTGCAGATTATGGGCTAAAAAAATATCATCGCAAGGGCTAGCTAAGACTGGCTTTTGTTTTTCAGCTCTTTCTCCTTGGGGTCCTCTTGTTGGTGTCAGGAAATGTGAGGTTTCATGCGGCCTTCATGTGGAGTTTGAAATTTTGTAATTTTAAGTTGCATGCACAAGAATGACCACACAAAGTCATATTTATCCAAGAGATGCTCTGAGCTCTCGTGACACCAGAGTAATGTAGACAAAGTAAAGGAACATGCTAACATCAAAGATGGAAGACAACTCTGCAGTTAATTTTATTGAATGATTTAATTGGTTCATTGGGTTCATTGACCTGAAGTTTGTTCAACCTCCTTCAGATGAGACGTAAAACCGAGGTCCTGACTCTCTGTGGTCATTAAAAATCCCATGGCACTTCTCGTGAAGAGTAGGGGTGTAACCCCGGTGTCCTGGGCACATTCCACCCTTTGGCCCTTGCCAATCATGGCCTCCTAATAATCCCCATACACTGAATTGGCTCTATCACTCTCTCTCCTCTCCACCTATAGCTGGTGTGTGGTGAGCGCACTGGCGCCGTTGTACTGTGGCTGCCGTCGCATCATCCAGTTGGATGCCGCACACTGGTGGTGGTTGAGGAGAGATTCCCTGATATGATTGTAAAGCGCTTTGGGTGTACAGTAGTACATATAAACGCGCTATATAAATGCCTCCATTCATTCATTTATTTATTCATTCATTCATATTTGGCTTTTCAATAACAATATGGTGTCACATATGTAAAACTTAGAGTTAGTTCACCCAAAAATGAAAATTCTCTCATCATTTACTCATCCTCATGTCGTTCCAAACCCGTAAGACTTTCGTTCATGTTCAGAACACAAATGGAAATATTTGAATGTTGACAGTCATTATTAGTCCACACAACTACCACTTTTACGCCTAAAAAAGTTCATGAAGAGATCGTAAAACTAATCCATATGAATCGAGCGGTTTAGTCCAAATTTTCTGAAGAGACATGATCGCTTTATATGATGAACAGATTGAATTTAGGCTTTTATTCACATATAAACATTCATCAACGCACTCATCAGATATGGTAAACTGAAGCTCAAGCATGCTTGCTTGCCGTACGAGAAACAATGAGGTTCATTCTCATGTGTTTGAGCTTCAAGCAAGAACTAATGAGGTGTCAAGCAGGTTTGGTTGAGCTTCTGTTTATGTTTGCTGATCAATATTTATATGTGAATAAAAGCCTAAATTCAATCTGTTCATCATATAAAGCGATCGAGTCTCTTCATAAATTTGGATTATGGATTAGTTTTACGGTGTCTTTATTAATTTTTTGAAGTGAGAACGTGGTAGTTGCTTGGACTTTCAATATCTTCATTTGTGTTTCAAAGATGAATGAAAATCTTACAGTTTTGGAACTACATGAGGGTGAACTATCCCTTTAAGACCCGCCCTTCACTGATTGCCTTAGGTTATTGAACAATAATGTTTATTTAATTAATAAATTAATAAATCTCAATCAATAGTAATATTTTATTTATTTATTTGTAATTATAATAATTATTAATTTATGTAATAATTCTAATGATATTTTGGGGGATTTACTCGTTTATTTAATAGTGATTTATCAATTACCTATAGTTCAATAACATTATTCAGTATTTTTTATTATTTTATTATTTTCATGCAAATTCGATCATTATTCTAAATGTTTAGTGTCTCTAGAACACAAGCCTTATATCCCATTAGATTAATCAACCCAATAATTAATGCATAAATCATGTTGTGTAAAAGTGATGTAGTATCCTGGAGTATTCAGCTATGCTTGTCTAATGGTATAACAGAAGTGACAGCAATTTTGACATCCATTGTTTTTGTTTTGACTACTTCCACATTTTTGTCTGACTTGAATGTGTGACATGTCATAATAGCGACTTCCTAACTCTGGAGTAGGGAACTAACCAGGTGCTCTTGAAGGCAGCAGTAGCTCAGTTTCAAATGGTAAATCGCGGTGCTAGAGTGGGTTGCCAAACTTGTCACATGTGGAATTTTCTGAACGTCCTCAAGAATCTAATATTGGGTTCTCTGAAGTGCTCTTCTTACTGTAAAGTAAAGTTATATCAGTCTCATTCAACCCTAATAGAGGCTAATGCCATGAATAAAACACAAGCGTATTGCAGAAGGCATTCGAGAGGGAACAGCGGGACAGTTAATACATTATTTTAGCCTGAAAGGGGACAGATTATTCAAAGTGAATGCAGAAAATAGACTGACACTGTCTTTCAAATGCTATTTTAGAGAGTTGATCCATTTCCGCACAAGAATTGTCATGCTGAAGAACCGCCAAATTATATAATTGCCTCTCCTTGAGTTCAAGGCCCAAGCAGGGCTCTTATAGCTCATCAAGTGAAAATGGCACATCCCTCTATTTCTTTCTGCATGTCTTGTGGGAACTTCTCCATCTTCCCACAGTACTAACTTTGTTTCTGCCTCTGCTGTCTTATAGACGATTAGCATCATACTAACTAGGTTTGTTTGCGAAGAAGAAATAATGTGTGCGAGCTGACAAAACAGTGACTGACTTTTATTTTTGCCGCTTTACATCTATGCTTGACATTACTGTAAAATGAAAACGTACTTTGAGCTTCTACAGGTCAATGAAGTCTTTTTTCACCCAAAAAATTTCCATTTTTGACAGCAGAAAGTCTCACACGTCTGCTGAACAGCCGATCTGTGAACGAGGCTAATTTTTCAGCTCAACAATAGTTAACAAGCTTATACGTTTCCACAGGTGACAAGGTGGAAGCATTCCCTGTCCTGGAGATAGACCAGAGCGAGATAGTGGACACCAACGGTGCTGGAGATGCCTTTGTTGGAGGTACTGTGCTACTAAACCATAAAGATATACTTTAAACCAGTAGTTCACGCAAAAATTTTAATTCTGTTGTCATTTATTCCACCCTCATGTCGTTGCCAACATGTATGACTTTCCTTTTTTCTGTGGAACTGGTGATGCCAATGATTTCAACTATTTTTCTCTGTACAATGAATTTTCTCTGTACAGTGGTGTCCAAAAAAATAATTTTGACCCCTTTGACTATGGATTAAAAATCACTGAGACATTTTTCAAATGTTCTTTGTCTTTTCTTTTGTGTTCAACAGAAGAAAGTAAATTCAGTCAGCACACAAATGGATTGAATTGTGAAAACGGGTGTTTAAGACTTGTCCTAGACAAAAGTATGTTTAAAGAAACAAAATAATGATAATTAAATACTTTATCATTAGTATTAGTATTAATGCATAAATCACAGAAGAAAAAAATTCCAGTCAGCACACAAATGGATGTGGAATTGTTGAAACAGGTGTCCAAGACTCAGAATAGTCCTAGGCGAAAGTATGTTTGATGGAAAATCACTATTGACAGGACAATTTAATCCAGGATTAGGTCTGATCTGTAACCTCTGGGAAACTGGACTGTGATGCAAGAGCTCTGACATGCAATGCTTATTTATTTCCTGTGCAGCTGCTCGAGAATGACAATTTGTAGATCTATACTAATATATACTTCATTTCATTTGGCTTAGTTTAGACACATGAAGCCGCCAATGTACTATTTAACCTCAGATGACACAGTTAAGGGGAAATACATGACTTTCATGATGGATTAGAGGAGTTTCCAGACTACCCACAGCCGTTATCATTAATCTGCGTGTTTTGCTAATAAGTGCGCGTTCAGATAGCCGCTGCGTGTCTACTCTGATCTGAACTGTGAAGTCATCCATCAAACGCGTAAAGCACAACGCTGTTTGGCTCCCCATGAAAAACAGAAATATCGATGTTGATCAAGCTGTTTGCGAGGGTCTTTCGGGTCCGCGTAATTTATCTTCATACGTGGCCCTCTGCTTCTCAAAGGCCAAGAGTCTGATTTGCTAACATGTCTTCCTGTAGCTCTTCCAGGACAACCTTTGCGACTAATAGAGCTGTGAGCGTGTTTGCTCAAACGTCGTATTGATTTTTTTAACTCCTTTATCCGTTCCAACAAGAGGTTGGAGGCCAGCTCTCTGCCACGTTGGAAAATGAATTTGCCAGCTGTTTTTCAATGCGCTGCTGCAGAGAGCAGAGATCTAGGTGGGAGGGTTCAGAGCCCGAGGGCAGCTGGAGGATTTCTGTATCGCACATCTCTAAAGAGGGCCTTTTGCATCACCTTTCCCCCTTAAGCCTGATTTCCTTAATTTTTTAAAAGAAAGTACATGCAACAAAATCGATACCCAACTATGCTTTCTAAGCTAACAATCGCCAGCAAATGTTTGTGTGTGCTTTATGCGCTCGGATGTGTGTCCATGTGTGTGTTCATTAAACATATGTTTGTGCACGCTTTCGATTAGGATTAAATCTGTCTACTCTCTTGCACCCGGATCTGATTTGTGCCCTTTTTTTTTTCATTGTCTGGTTGCATGTGTGTGCAGGTTTCCTGTCTCAGCTGGTACAGGATAAGACCTTTGAGCAGTGCATCCGTGCTGGACACTACGCTGCTAACGTCATTATTCGCCGCGCGGGCTGCACATTCCCAGAAAAGCCCGACTTCCACTGATGGGCTGCTGAGAGACCGGAAGATATGGCCACCCAAGTGTTTTATAGGATTAATGCCTTTTTTAAATTGACTTTTTATCTTCTGTTCCTCTTTCCTCTCTTGTTCACGTGCCTCTTTTCTCTGTCTCACGGCCTAATTCAATCACAGAGGCATATTTCACGTTAAAAACTGTTTACAAAAGAGGAATTTCTGTTGCAAATATTGATTGTTTTTACTTAAGCCATTTTAGTGATGAAGTTAGGAGCACCTGTTCAGATGTGGCATTTACTCAGTAGCACCTCATTGCAGTACACGAGATCCAGGGGGCGGAGTTGGATCCAGATCTAAGGGGTGGAGATGGGTAGGATTAGGGGTGGGGTTAGGGATCAGGGGCGGAGATGGGTAGGATTAGGGGTGGGGTTAGGGATCAGGGGGCGGAGATGGGTAGGATTAGGGGTGGGGTTAGGGATCAGGGGGCGGAGATGGGTAGGATTAGGGGTGGGGTTAGGGATCAGGGGCGGAGATGGGTAGATTTAGGTATATTTGAGGTGGGAGGAGTTGGATCTGGATCCAACTCCTCCCCCTGGATTTCGTGTTCTGCAGTGAGGACCATCTCCATTTACTAACAAAATTACCTTGATGACATGGTAATACCATACTGCTGTAACAACCGAAGCAGATATTTCAAATATACTAGTTATATATTATAAAACCCAGACGAATCATTTGAACTTTATTGAAATCAAAATCTTATTTTGTCTCAGAGGAATTGTGTTGGCTAGTCCTGCTGTTGTAAACCAAATGTAATTGTGAAAAGCACACTCAAATGTGTCATACAAAGAAATCTGTTGTTTTGTGAGCAAAACCTCTGCCAAATAAAACTAAAAGAGGCTCTTTTACTGCTGTCACTTTTATTCTTTTCCTAACCTTATAATTAGTCACGTAGACTAGATGTTTTGTTGCTTGAAATATGATTATATTGTGAATAATCAGTGTTTTTGGTTCAACAGAGAACCAATGCTGAATTCGGAACCGCATACTAGCTATATACTACTCTTACTGTTTCGACCATATCTTTCTATGGCTGGAATAGTAAGAGTAGTATGTTAGTAGCCGGTTCCTAATTCAGCACAGGACTGAACCTGCAGCTTCTTCCTGTCCCCTTGATGACAGTGGCAGGTCTGCAAGGTTCATCTCTGTGATATGGAATGAGGAGCAGCTATTTGTGAGCATCATTAGACTCAAGGTACAGCTGCCCCTTTGTCCCCGTGTGTGACCGCAATCATAGCGGATTCAGGTTCTGTCGATGACAAACACGTTTTGGACCCTGGCATCATCGAGCACATGGTTTTAAACAACCCGTGAGTCCATGCGCAATCCTTAATGACAGCAAAGGACAAAGTCCTTGAGCACTATTTCACATTTTCAGCTCACACACAGTCACGCTTGTGGATGTGTGTGTGTGTGTGTGTTTTTTTTTTCACTTCTCTAATCCTCCCGCTGTGTGTTTTACAATGAAGCTGGGTGTTTTTAAGACCTGCGAAAGTTGCCTTTGAGGTTTATAAAAAGTAATTTGATTCACAGGTGTCTTGCTGTTGGACAAAATTTCAGTTACTGTAGATGACATTATGGAAGTTGAGAGAAGTCAACACTTTTAGTTGTGTTTCTGATCTAGAAATTGTACTTGCAATACTTATAATACAAATAATAGTTAGGTAGATGTACTTATGGTCATGTTGCATCGCATATACTTTTGCTGCTATTGATATGGGATATGGTTATGGTTAGTGACAGGTTTAGTGGAATCAGTACGTTTTAGGGTTGAATTGTATAAAGTGCTATATAAATAAACGTGACTTACGAGGAAGATGTAGTCAACATTGTAATTATCAATGTACATACAGAAATTAATTACATTCTTAGAAAAAAAAAAAGTTCTATATAGAGCCCTAGGATTCTTGACTCCATTTAAAATTAAAAAAATAATTTCATAATACTTTTGTTTAATTAGTTATTTAAAATTTTCTAGTGGTAAAGTATGTTTACAAGCTGTTAAATTCATAAATTTAATCAAAATAAAAAATGTATTAAAACTAAATCCATAAAATGATCCCATGACAGAAACATATAATATATAAGTACAACGTAAATAGATGTACACTATAAGTGCACTGTAGCAAATTGTTTTCAATATACGACTTGCTATAGGTCTGTTATCTGGTCAAATTGTATAATTTCAATTGGAAAGCAACAGGTACAGTTTATTAAGGACGATGAATAAGACCAGCAGCTGTGACCTCATTTAAAGTTTATTTATTTCATAATGATTGATGAGCTATTTGGTTTGGTTTGGTCCACTGTAATAGCAAATATTGTTATATTTATATTATTTAAAAGAAGAAACCCATCTAGATACAATGTAAGGAAAATGATTGTGTTTGCTTAGTTGGAACATTCAGTGTAGTTAGAAAAGTAAAACCAGTATCTGGAAGGTCATCAGTTTGAGCTAATCTATTTACCCCACTGCTGTTATACCCTTGTGCTGAGCACTTATCCTGCCTCTGTCTGCATGTGAATATGAATGTGCCAGTGGTTGAAATATGCAAACATGAATAATTCCAACGTATCTGTGCAAACCGTAAACAAATGTACCTTCCCTTTTGGCATACAAATAAGTAACACTGACTTGTGATAGCCACACAAAAAAAGGGTCTTGGGCTAAAAATAATGCCGGTTATCACCTTTGACGGGTATTATGTTTAAGAAAAACGAATCATGGCTAGCTGTGACTTTTAAATAACAGTGCTGCAACAGGTCAAATAAAACTAAAAAAAGGCAGTGTATTGTACTTATATTATTACAATATATAGTGTTTGGTATGTCACACCCAGACCAGCTGCTGTAAGAAGCTCATGCTGTTGTGTAAATCAGATTTCCCAAACAAAAAAAAACCTTTTGTGTCAGATCACCTTGATCAGGCTTTGCTGGAAGCCAATATGTAGGCTTTTGCCAAACTGTAACCACATCCTGCAGGGCTCAAGTTTTGTTTAGTGTGCAATTTGTTTTCCTTTCAGGCACCGTAAAAAGTAACATGTCCATGGTTCAGATTGCCGTACGCTACACCAAATTTTCATCCGCAGGGCAAACCCACAGGCTTTCAGGTGCATTTGTAAACTCTTGTGGGGTTTTGTTGCAAATTTTGTTACAGAAAGGAAATGATTTAGATATACTCGTCTCCTATTATGTTGTTCCAGTTGTGGTGAAGCAAATTTCCCTGTATTTATTTGATGCTGGTATTTATATTGCAAACAAACATCAATTAAATGCGCAACACCTTCTGAGCAATTATAAAGTTGTATATAATTAAACCATGTGAAACGTTTTTATAATTATGCATATGCATGTATTAATATGATATTGATCTGTGTCGTGCTGTATGGGTGATATTAAAAGTTTAATCTTCCTCTTCAAAAACATGGCACATACAGTATCTTGTTTATTTATTTATTTATTTATTTGGGGGGGGGGGTTCTCACCCGTGCCATTTAGTTTGAGCATTTACAAAATCTAGCATAATTGCACACGGTGACATGGAAACGATTTTGTATGCATTCATATCCCAATAAGTGATATTAAAAGTTTCCTTTTCCTCTTCACAGACGGGGCACATTATGTCTTCTCTTTTCCCACCCATGCCATGTAGTCTGAAACAATGTACATTGTTTCCCAATGAGCGATGTGATGTCACATAGCGGTTACAGCGAGTTAGTCCTCCTCTGTGGCTGATGGAGTGCCGAAAGGGGAGGGTACTACTTTGTCACAGACTCCTATGTAGATTAACCTTTCAATTAGTTGTTATCAGGTTCCCTCTGCCTACGCGTGCGTTCATCTTCCGAATCAAACAGGACCCCTTTGGATTTATCAGGCTACTTTGCGCATATATCATCAGCTTCGCAAATAAGCGTGTTTTTATTGCTTAAACGAGGAGTGTGGAGAGATCGCGCGAGGAACTTAAAGGTAAATGTTCGCTTTGCCAGCGTTGTCGGGCATTTATCTCGGCGGTGTCTTGAGTGGCTTGTTATCGGTGGCATGTTTTAATCGTTCAAGTTTAAGTTGTCGTGAGTGATGTAACTTGACGCGAGCGGAGAAATTAATTCGGGCTATTAAGGTTATTGGGTTACACGAACCGCGCAACTATCGCAAGCTATGGCTTGACCCGCATAAATGGAATTTTCCAGATGCTATCTGTTCTCTGTTGCTTGATCTTGAAATATGTGTGCATTTTGCATGCTTTAGGCATTAGCGAGTAAACGACCAGCAGTCGTCATTGCATCTTTTAGTGTTTTAGAAGAACGGGAATGATTTGCCATCATCGCCAGACATTCGCAGGATTTATAAATGTTGCCTATTTGTGTGCACTACCTTCGTGAGGGTGCGCGCGCTCGATAGTTCATGGCCCTCCATGTCTTTTGTAAAGTGCAAACTAAATATTATATTATATTACAGTGCACACAGTACTGGGAATGCCAAGGATAACTTGGACTAATTATTCACCATTACATTATTCTCCAAAAAGTGTGACTAGGTCGATCTGCTCATATTGCAGTGTAGTGCGATGCTCATAAGGGGGAGCCTTCTTAAAGGTGTAGACCGAGTTTCGGGTGATCTTACATTAAAGAGCCATCAAGTAGTTTTAAACTCATTAGATTACATGATGATAAAATATTCCCGCTATCCCTGGTCCCTGTTCTTCTAATTCTGATTGAATAGCTGGAATAGCATTTCCATTAGCAGTGCGGACTAGAGATCAGTTGTCACATTAAAGGGATAGTTTTATCTAAAAAATGAAAATACTGTCATCATCTACAAGCACTCGTGTTGTAATAGTCCCGTATGACTAAAAGGAGATATGTAGAATGACGGCCATCAGTTATTATTCACTTGCATGTTAAAAACAAACAAACAAACATTTAAAGTTAATAATGACCGAGACTATAATTTCTCACATTTTGCCTAATATCTCCTTTTATGCTCCACGGAAGAAAGTAAGTCATACTGGCTTG